GCCCCCCGTGGTGGTCACCTTCCCCGGCCCCATCCTCAGCTCCTTCCCCCAGCAAGCCGTGGTGGGCTCCGCCGGAGCCCCCGCCTTTGGGGGCTCCCTGGGGCTGGGGGGCCTCTACGGCGCCGGGGCCACCCAGGGCTCGGGGGGCCTCTGCACCTTTGGCAGAGCTCCCGCCTGCAGCCCTTGTGTGCTGCCCCGCTCCTCCAGGAGGATCTGGGACACCTGCGGGCCCTGCTAGACCCAGCCCACACCCCACTGCCACTGCTGTCCCCACTCCACCAGCGCTGCTCTGGGCAACATCCCTTGGATTCTCCAGCATGTGACAACCAGCCTGGCTGGGTCTCGCCCACCATCTCTCTCACAGTCTCTCCTGCCCCTCTCTGCACAATAAACTTTTTCTGCATCCAAGTCATGTCTCTTTCCATTATTTTCCAAAGCCAAAAAGACCCAGGGGTCGTGACGTTTGGCAGCTGAGGGAGTCCAGGAACTTCTTCCCTGCACAGTTTTTATTAAAGGCAAAATATTCCTCATAATGTAAAAAATTATTGTGAAAATAACACCAGAGGTTGCTGGGATTTTTCTGAGCTCTGAGGATTGGAACACCCCATAATGAAATTATATATTAAATTATATATATTATAAGACAACTTTGGCATTCCCACCTCTTCCTCCCACTGCTTGTTAGACAGGAATTACTATTTCATATTGTACTTCAAGAAATGTGACAAAGGTAAAATATTCCCTAACAAAAAAGCCTCACTGCTTATATTAATATCTAATTAACTCATCAGTAATTAGCATGGTATGAATTAAATGCACCTCTGCCTGGTACTGGCAATTTATGCACAGGCAAATTTCTCCCAGAGAAGAGGAAGAGAAAGAACATTGCGAAACACCAGTTATGATGCACCATATATTTAATGAGCAAGAAGTAACATTAAAAAAGAAAAAAAAAAGTACAGCATAAAAAAGCAGCAGGGTTTCTATGGATAAAATTAAAATTAATTCTAAAATTAATTCTAAAATTAATTCTCCGTTTCCAGGCAGCGCTTTACAGCTGGACAGGCAACAACCCAAAAATGCATTTCTCCCGCCTCGCTGATAACACAGGGAGGCCTCAGATCAGCAGTGCCAAGCTCCTGCAGTCCCAGTAGCTCAGGGGGAAAGCTGAGGGGAAGGAGGGGGTCAGCAAGCCGTGGGTCACCAACTCAGTCCTGCAGTTGGGTCGCGCTCCTCATCTCCGGGGTGGGATGGAGGGGATCCCTTCGGGGCCGTTCCTCGACTCCTCCTCAGGGCCCGCAGCGGTTGGAACGGCGGTAGGACCTCCCATAAAGGCCCCCCAGCCCCGAATACCCGAGGCTGCCTCCCAACCCCAGGGAGCCCCCCGAGTTGATGGGGACCCCCCCGGCGCTCAGGGCGTCGCCCACGGCGGCCGAGGCCGAGGAGCCCACGGCGGTGTTCTGGGGGAAGGAGCTCAGGATGGGCCCGGGCAGCGTCACCACCACGGGAGAGGGTTGGATCACGTAGGTGGAGTCCTGGCACTGCCTCACGCAGGGCTCGTTGCAGCTGTTGGCCAGCGGGGTGGGCCCGCAGGAGGTGGGGGGACACAGGTCGTAGCAGGACATGGCTGGTGTGGGAGGGGGGTTGTCACCCAGGCTGGAGCACTGGCAAGGAAGTGAATCTGAGGAGAAAGCTGTAATTAGTCGTGTAATTAAGCTGCTAATGCGAGGGAGAGTGAGAGACACTGTGGAGGATGGAATAACGTGTTAGTCTTGGCTTGGAAGGAGGCTTTGATCAAGCCCAAACTCCTGTCCACGACACAGAACGAGAAGCCTTTGATGGCTCATTTCCCACCACGCTCCTCCAGGATCCTCCAAGCCCTGGGTGGGGAAGTGGGGGACAAGGCTCATGATCTGTCAGAAAAGGGAAGGAAAAACTCTGCCCCAAAACGGAGAGGAAAAATTCAGATTTCCTCAGCAAGTAAAAGTGAGGAGCATGAACTCCCCTGTGAGGGTGGGGACAGGTTGCCCAGGAGACATCCCAAACCCACCTGGATGTGTCCCCGTGTCACCTGCTCTGGGTGACCCTGCCTTGGACTGGGTGATCTCCAGAAGTCCTTTCCAAGCCCAGCTATTCCGGGGTCCTATTCTGAGAGCCAGAATCCCTGCACAGAATCACCACTTTCCAATTGCTGAGCAACCCACAGGGAGAGATTCGAACGTTTTGGAACGGAATTATTTGGTGACACAAATGAAAAATGAGCCTTGAGTCCTGCACCCACAACCTCCACCAGAACAATCACCTTCTCCTGGAAAAAAAAGCTGCTTGATGGTCCCCCCTCCCCTTCCCCACAGAGCACAAACCTCAGACTGCTACAAAGGAAAGGTAAAAATAAAATACAATGAAGGCAACAATTCAGGACATGGAAAAATAGGAAACAAATCAAGACTTACCTTTTCCACCAAGGAGAATAAAGCAGAAGTGGATGAAGCTCCTCTGACTGTGCTGCCTTTTATACTCTGGCCCAGAGAGCCTGAGGATCT